CCAATGTTGTGTGTGTGTGTGTGTGTGTGTGTGTTGTGTGTGTGTGTGTGTGTGTGTGTGTGTGTGTGTTTTTATATATGGTATCGGATTTCCTACATTTTTCAACCGATTTCAACAAAACTTTACTTTTTTTTGGCATGTAGTGTTTCTTATTGTTTTGTACACTTTTTTATTTTTACATTCAGAATGCTTTAAAAATTCCATTTATAAGACAATTGTTTATAATAAAATTCTATTCAATCGGGAGACACATAACGATTGAAAACAATGTTTTTGTTTGAGTTTGGGTTTGACCAATTCGTAAAAAAATAAAATAAAAAAACTAATTAAGTCATGCGTGTGCGTCAACCTTAAACAATAATCTTTGTCAATTTTATTTTTCAGTCTTTTATGATGGTTGATACTTGATCTATCTCTTACTGTTACATCCCAGGGCAACATGGGCTCTACTATTAATATATATATATATATATATATATATATATATATGTGTGTGTGTGTGTGTGTGTGTGTGTGTGTGTGTGTGTGTGTGTGTGTGTGTGTGTGTGTGTGTGTGTGTGGCGGCTTTTCACAGATATTTCCATGACCGCCAGACCTGACTATTCTTTTTTATTTCTTACCAGCCACCTCCTCTTTTTTTTTTTTTTTTTTTTTAGCTCTTTGGCCACATTTGCAGAAATATTTTCCTCCGTCTATTGTCTTTGTCTCTTGCTGTGCGCCCCGCCAACCGGCATTTTTTTTTCGTCTACATTTCTATAATATCTCTTATTACGGTCTATTCTCCCATCTATATTAACCGCTTCCTGAATCTTCCAGTTCTCCATAGCTTTGCTTTCCCATTGCTGTTCGTTCATTTCTAATTTTGTTTAAAAGCGCTCTTGTTAATTTCCCCGTTTTGCACCTGTGCGTTACTCCTGGCACCAGATATACATATACACTTCACCTTGTAAGCATATTGCTAAGGTGCTTATCATTATTTTTCTATTTTTGTTAAAAGCTTTCCACCCCATCTTCATACGTCATTTTATTTCATTTCCGTGGTCTTTCTTTAATGCTATCCCTTGGCTAAATATATATATATATATATATATATATATATATATATATATATATATATATATATATATATATATATATATATATATATATATATATATATTTATTCTTGGATTTCTTCCAGATCTTTGTCTCTATTTTTATGATCTCTTTGGGATTGTTATAATCGAACGTTACTTTCGTTTTTATTTGAAAGCCTAAATTGAAACTTGCAGTGTTTTTTTTTTGGGGGGTATTTTTGTAATTCATTTGAGAAATCTGTTATTAGTAAAATGTCATCAGCAAATTGGAGATAATTTAAATATTCTTTATTCTGTGTTTAATCGCATCCTTTCACAAATCGTTTTCCGGGAGATGTTTTCAAGATAGGCAGTGCTGAAAGGTTCCAGACAACCCCTCTCCCCAGCCAAAAAACGATTTTCAGCCATGAAACGTATTTGCTTTTCCCCTTATTCACACCGCAGGTCAAATCCCTTGGAAACTTTCCTCTACTCTCCCCAAATCTTTCACTCTGTTCCACTCGGACTGCTTCGTCCAAACAATCTCTATTTTGTAGAACAGACTCCGGAGAGGATGCTTCCCTGATCATTGCAATCCTAACCTCTTCCAGTCTAGTCTTAACCGTTATTTTCCCTACATATCTTCATAAACTGCACTTTTTATCTCCTCTTACATCAATACAACGAATTCATTTACTAATCTTCTATCTTGAGTGGCTGCTTGGCCTTGTATTGGATGAACAGTTAATAAAAAAGCTAATGATTAGACTGAGATAGATAGATAGATAGATAGATAGATAGATAGATAGATAGATAGATAGATAATCATAATATTCACTTCCCTCTTATATTCAAATCACATCCCTCATTCAGTAATCTACTTTCAGTGACTTTTGATCCTTGTAGGGGTTTATGTTTAACAAAAAAAAGGTAGCACTCCAAAATACATTCTGTATATCTGCAATGACATTTTATGAAATATTTAATACCTCCAAATTTTAATACGATTCAAGCATTGTTTTCTAAAATATTACTTTCAAAATTCCAAGTCATTATTTCCTCCTTTTAAATTTAATAACCAACCAACGACATGTTTATTCGTATGAATTTCAAAAGTAGACAAATCTTTAATCGCTGTGGAATTTTTCTCCTGGGTAAGACAATAAACTACATCCTGCGTCCTGGGTAAGACGATAAACTGCATCCAGCAGCAAGGTCTCTGATCAGGAGGTTTTGAGGAGCGTGGAATCACCTCTTAATTGCTGGTGTTCCCAGGTCCACCCTGACCCGGGGTGGTAGCACCTGTTAGGGTCCCAACTATGGGTAAATAGTTAACCCCGAAACTGGGGTCAAAATACAATGAAAGTATAAAAATATGTTTTAATACCAGAAATAAAATTTTGAAGGAAAATTATTTCCAGCAACACATTATTACCAGCAATACATTTTTGAAGAAAAAAAATATTACCAGCAATATATGTTTGAAGAAAAAATATTACCAACAATTTACCAACAATAAATTATTACCAGCAGTACATTTTTGAAGAAAATAAATATTACCAGCAATATATTTTTGAAGAAAAAATATTACCAGCAATTTACCAGCAATACATTATTACCAGCTGTACATTTTTGAAGAAAATAAATATTACCAGCAATATATGTTTGAAGAAACAATATTACCAACAATTTACCAACAATAAATTATTACCAGCAGTACATTTTTGAAGAAAAAAAAAATTACCAGCAATATATGTTTGAAGAAAAAATATTACCAACAATTTACCAACAATAAATTATTACCAGCAGTACATTTTTGAAGAAAATAAATATTACCAGCAATATATTTTTGAAGAAAAAATATTACCAGCAATTTACCAGCAATACATTATTACCAGCTGTACATTTTTGAAGAAAATAAATATTACCAGCAATATATGTTTGAAGAAACAATATTACCAACAATTTACCAACAATAAATTATTACCAGCAGTACATTTTTGAAGAAAAAAATATTACCAGCAATATATTTTTGAAGAAAAAATATCACCAGCAATTTACCAGCAATACCTTTTTAGAAAAAAATATTACAGACATTTTTGAAGAAAAAAATATCACTAACAATATATTTTTGAAAAAAAAATATTACGGGCAATAAAAACCTTGTCGGAATTAAATAACCCATTGAGGTTGATATGCCATAAAACAAAGCAAACGAAACTAAGAAATTTCCCATAATTTTTCGTAAAATTAACATTTAAAACTAGTAGAAGAAATAATTTTATGATTACATTTGTTTGTAATGTTTTTCCGTATCGGCCTATATTTCGCTTAGCCTCTCTTTCTTCTGAGAATTTTTGTTATCTATCTTACCCGATCAAAAGAATAAATAGTAAGAACAATGATAGTGCATAATGAATAGTAATAATGAACTTGGTTATGCCCGATTGATTAACGTCTCTAATGTGCCCTTCAGTGGAATCACTACATGAAAATGTGTCTTCAATAGATCAATTGCGCATTTGCCATCGGCGACAGAAGATGGCAGTCGTGTCCAAGTAAATAAGATTTCGAATGCTGACCCTCAATGCAGAAATATTGGCGTTATCTGCCTACACTCATTTCCCACCAATACAAACACTACTGTCCTTGTGTCAGAATAAGTAAATATGAATAGATGTTAATAAAATGATCGTGTTTCTATGTAAATACGTAGGTAAGTTGTAATAATCATCCTTGCCTCTGATTGGTTGTCATGAAAAGCCACTCAACATCACAATGGCGACGTTCTTTTTTTTCGAAATGATTGCGTCTCAGTTTGTTCGCCATTTTTGCTACTATCTTCTCAGGAATCCTTAAGTAAAATCCTAACCATTTTTAGTCTACTTTTCTTAAAGCAATGTTCTCTCTCTCTCTCTCTCTCTCTCTCTATATATATATATATATATATATATATATATATATATATATATATATATATATATATATATAAACCCTAAATCTGAAGAACAAAAATCTGTGAAAGAAATAAAAACAATTAACAGAAATAAATTTGTGATGAAGGAATAGGCAAGTATTCTATCTGTAGATTAATGGCTGCACCATTCACCTGAGATGTCAGATTAACCGGGTTGTAGAGATTAAAACACCGAAGGTGAGAATATTAGTTTATTAATTAATAGAATGCTTATTGGTATTCGAAAATCCAGACCAACCAACAAAATACAGTATCGGTACGCATACACTTACCCATTGTGTTTTATTCTAACGAATTAAATGATAAAACTACACCTTTACGGTTAGGTTTGGTTTGACTTGGTTCATTTTGTTATACGGCATGTCACCCTTAATGAGTTTTTAATGCCGACAAGATTTTTAGAATAGGTTCGTATGAATAAAATATGTATTCTTTGTAAGAAATCAGTTTGTGGATCAGGTTTCATTAAGGTATTTTTTTCTTTTGTAAAGAGGGTTTTTGTCGAGAGTTAAATGAATTGCTGGTAATATTTGTTTTTTATCAAAAATGTATTGCTAGTAAATTTTTAAATGTATTGCTGCTAATATATTATTTCAAAAAAGTATTGCTGGTATTTTTACTATAAAAAACTATTTTTACACTTTTATAGAGTTTTGACTCCAGGTTGAGGGTTATCTATTTGCCCCTAACTTGGACTTTAACAGGTGATACCACCCCCGGGTCAGGGTAGACCTAGGAACAGCAGTAATTAATAAGTGGTCCCATGCTCCTCAAAATTTCACGATCAGAGGCCTTGCTGCCGGATGTAGTTTTTATACCCAGGACGTAATACCTTTACGACTTCCTTTGCTCTGAAGAAACATGTATACATGTAGACAAGCACTGTTATAGAAACAATAATACTACTGTGTGATTAATTACCGCAATTAATTACATATAATATGCTTTTGTTCAGAATTTCAAATCATATGCGTCACCATATTCAGTGGGGTATGACAGAAAATATTTTATACTTACATTGTATGTATGTCAAACTACAGATTCCCCCATGGAATATAGGTTCAAAATTTTGCCAAGACAAGTGTTCCTGTTGTGTTTTCAGTAACAAGTACTTCTTTTTTTACATTTTCAATTCAGAGTTTTTTTTTTCTCCTAGATTGGTTGCCAACCAAAGGTATAAAGTGTTATAGTACCTAATTTATTGTAATAGACTCTCCCACACATAATAAGTAGTAATAGTAGTAGTAGTAGTAGTAGTAGTAGTAGTAGTAACGGTCGCCAGTTGGGCTCAGTGGTGTTAAGTGAGTCAGTCGATGTCGGACATTAAAGTATCAACCATCACAACTAGATTGCTGCGTCATTAACTCTTATTTCAAGTTCCTAACGTTTTGTACGTCGGACTCTTTTAGGACAGACTTCGTGAAATACAAGCCTTCACTGAGAAAAGTACTCTACAACATAAAGCCAAGACGAGAAAAGAAGCATTCATACCTTTCCAAAGCTATTTGTACGAAAGCGAACACAATGTTCTCGGTTGTCATTTGAGATCGATACACCAATCAGATTATATCAATCACCTTGATCAATGGTTTCCAAACTTTTTTTTTTCTCTGGGCCGCATTTTCGGAATAAAAATTGGCTCGTGTCTCAGCAATTTTTATGCGATAAAAAGTACATTTAAAAATTAAAAAAAACAAAAAAAAACAGAGAGATTGGATTAAAAGAGATAACAAGCGAACTTCAAGTCATAAAATTATCATTGATAACTCTCCCCACCAATTTGCGGACCTAATATTCTTAATACTTGATATAATGCAGAAATATCACAATGTTAAAATTGGTCAATAATTATGTATAACTATTTATAATTGGACTCATGCATGCAATTACAAGTAACCCATAATAATATTTGAAATTTTGAAACGGTGCCGCCACTATTCATCTCGAAGTTCTCGACAAAATCCAAGATATGCAGTGTGCTCGTCCTGACTTAGAGTCTCTACTTCACTCACTTTCTCACCGACTTAATGTGGCTTCCCTCTGTCTTTTCTATAAATATTTTCATGGCATCTGCTCCGATGAGCTATTTTCACTGGTGTCCTCACAGCATGAATTTAAGCATCTCGATCCCAGCCTTTTACTGTTGAAACAGTTAAATGTAACCGCTTCTTCTACTCCAACATCTTCTTCTCTTGCACTTCCCGACAGTGGAACTCCCTTCCTCTTACTTATTTCCGTGATAATCATAATCTTCAAAAATGTAAATGCAATGTCAATCGCCATTTTCTATTGCCTTGATCTCCTGTTCTTCTTTTAATCCCCCTCCGTTCTTCTTTTTATCCTTTCCTCCCAACTCCTCATACCCAGTCTTTTTGCTTACTTACACTCTCTGTAGTCCCTTGCATATTAGTATCACTCCCGCCTTGCTTAGGGTGAAATGCTTAAAAAAATATATTTCTTTTTGGCATATGAATTTTTTTAAAGTGTTTCTAAATCTTAGATTGTCTTTCAATCATTCAGCCCCACTTGCTATCCTCTGTTTGGAAACCACGAGCCTACATTAATGTATAACAAAAATTTTAAATCAATGACCAAACACATTGTTTTATTAAAGAAAACATACATATTAAACATATTTTAGTCAACTGTACTGTTTCCAATAACCAAGTTAGACATTATAATCGTTATAACTCCGGTCAGCGTAGTAGATGTGATCGTCTTCTACGATGTCGTCGTCGTCCACAGAGTCATTGTTATCATTCTTCATCAAAAAGGATGTCATCCTTATTGCTGTTCAATACGTTCCTGATGTGTTTTTTTTTTTGCGGGGGGCATGTTGCAATGCCAGGTTTCTAATCTCTAAATGCATTTAACGGAAATATTTGGTCGGGTCCACTTCTGTTTGTACGCAGCTGATACTTGATTGTTTCATTATACACTCATCATCTTCCACTGTGAGCTTTTTTCGGATGCATTCGTAAATTGTTGTGTTTAAAAGCATGATGTAAACTGCATTATTCTTTTATGCAACGTATCCCTTTAGAACGGGGACGATCGCTGTTCCCCACAAACTTCCTATCCTCTAGCTATCATCTCTAATCTCTAAATATGTTTTCTTTTTCTCATATTATTTCATACTCAGTAGCCTTGCGTCTTAGTGGCTTTATTGCCTTTCTTGGGATGAAATGATTAAAAAAATTCCTGTCTCTTTACTCTCGTTCCTAAATCCGGTTCTGCCATATATTTACACAAATTCTTTAGGTAGGTTACTCGTCGTTTCCCTCTGTGTGTATTGTCCTGTGAGCGTTAAACTCTCCAAGCCCTCTTTCCTCATTATGTGTTCTAGAAATGTCATCTGTCACTTTCTGATACTAATTATAAATTTCCTTTTTAAATTCTTACGTTTAGTTGACGTGAACCAGAAAAAATGTTGAGAAAATGTTAAATTTAGATCAAATTTTGCCTCGACAAATTTTAAAAAGTCCGTGCGTATTATATACAATATATTTCCCCAGAATTTCTTAGCCTCCGGTTACTGGTAATTACTATAGACGAGTGCGTATTGTACACAAATAATTACGTTATTATGAAATCAATTCGAATGTTATTTTTTTTTTGTTTCATTGCTTATTTGAATCACGCCATGTAGCGACGAATAAAAACAAAATCAGAAATATTTCAGATAGAATTTGTGAGTTCGTGGTAAGAATTTCAATGGATCTGACGATTTCCCGGCAGATGAATGTGCAAGAAATTAATCAATGTTGGCGGGGAAGTGATTCTTTGATTATTTTTGTTGTTGTTCAATCACTTCCTGATTGTGTGTGTGTGTGTGTGTGTGTGTGTGTATTTTATTTTTAGCTCTTGTTTGTAACAAGTATTTCAGATTCTTAGGCATTTATATGTAGAATGCACTGACTTCTCTCTCTCTCTCTCTCTCTCTCTCTCTCTTATTCTTTCTCTCTATCTATTACGTACAACTACTCTCTCTTTTATAGATCTATCATTTACTTTTGCTTTTATTATCCCTTTCATTCACTTTCTCTGTCACTTAAATGTTTTTCTTTCTCTCGTTCTTATTTTCAAAGAATGTTCATATCTATCTATCTATCTATCTATCTATCTATCTATCTATCTATCTATCTATCTATCTATCTATGTTCATATTAATTTCTATTCTTATCTATCCATTTCGTTCTGTACAAATCTATGTACCTCATGCTTTTTATATTTTTCTCAGTTTGTTAATAGATATCTATCTCGCTCGCTAGCTAGCTCGCTAGCTAATTATCAATCTATCTCAGCCTGTTCATATCTATCTATCTATCTATCTATCTATCTATCTATCTATCTATATCTTGTCTTCTGCTTGTCTCTCTCTATATATTTTCTTTATATCTATCTTGATTTGTTTCTTTGATGTTATATATTCATTACTTATGTTTGACGACAGTAATTCTCAGTGTTGTGTTTAAATGGACACGTTGTTTCACTCAGGATCAAATAAGGAAAAGCGTACTTTCTGAACAAGTGATTTATGTATACGTATCATTAAAAGGCTTCAATCGTAAAAGCGCATTAACAACAGGCAGCTACCCACAGTGGTCTGCGGGAATATGAACTACAGGATTAGAAGTCAAAGACAGTCATGTAGAAATTGAATCTAAGAGAAAGAGAGAGAGGGAGAAAGAGAGAGAGGGAGAAAGAGAGAGAGGGAGAAAGAGAGAGAGGGAGAAAGAGAGAAAGAGGGAGAGAAAGAGAGAGAGAGAAAGAGGGAGAGAAAGAGAGGGAGAAAGAGAGAGAGAGAAAGTCAAAGACAGTCATGTAGAAATAGAATCTAAGAGAAAGAGAGAGAAAAAGAGAGAGGGAGAAAGAGAGAAAGAGAAAGAGAGAGAGAGAAAGAGACAGCGAGAGAGAGGGAAAGAGACAGCGAGAGAGAGAAAGAAAGAAAGAAAGAAAGAAAGAAAGAAAGAAAGAAAGAAAGAAAGAAAGAAAGAAAGAAAGAGAGAAAAAGAAGAAGAGAGAAAGAGAGAGAGAAAAAGAGAGAAAGATAAAGAGAGAGAGAGAGATTTAAAACCTTTTACAACTTTCCGTGAGATCGGATATGGTGAAAAGATCTCGGTTCCATATTTGACAGAAAATAAAACTTCTTCGCTCCGCCTTTCATTCAATTTCGAATAAAGAGGGTCTTACAAGAACAAGAACAAAAATATAAGTTATATCAAAATGTTCTCAGCCTTAGATAACTTCGGCATTGACAAGATCTTGGAAGTAATAAATGAAATATATAACTGTAACAAAGAAAACCGGCGGACCTCACTAAATCCACCTTCATAACATTACCCAAGCGACCAGGTGTAAACAAATGCCAACTCCCTAAGACAATTAGTTTAATGAATTAAAAACCAAAGTAATGTTACGAATCTTGATAAATACAGCGTAGAATAGAATTAGACCGGAAATAGGACAAAAAGAATGCGGTTTTCCCAAGGATACCGGAAGAGGAACTGCAATATTCATGATCTGAATGTTAGAAATAGCAATACAAATGCAGAAGGATGTGCACTTACGTTTTTATAGATTATCCAAAATCATTTGGCAATGTATAGCACAAGGATCTATTTGAACTGCTAGGAAAACTCGATCGATATCGAAAAGATGTTAAACATTATACTAAACTAACACTAGAAACAAACCACCTCTATCCGGATAGAAAATAAAAAAAGGGCGGCTTCTCCTCGGATTTATTCAAAACGCTTCTGTGACGCTATTTTAAGGGAACAGGAGATCCTACCAGGATTAGTTATTGGTGATTGATTAGTTAACAATATAAGATATTTAGATTACACTGCGTTATGGCGGAATTGGAAAGGAAACTACAGGACCTAGGCAGTGTTGTAGAAGAAAGCGAGAAAAACGGACTAGAAGACAGAAAGTATGGCCATCAGCAAGACAAAAAAAGCCCAAGATGCGAGTTACGAATTGGAGATGTCAATCTCAAGCAAGAGCAGAAGTCTAAATATCTGGGAAGCGTTTTAACAGAGTATGGAAAATGTGACACCGAAATCCGAACACAGCATTGCATGAGCGAAAGAAGTATTCCAAACTCTAATGAAAGTATTCCAAAATCTAAAGAAAGTATTCCAAACTCTAATGAAAGTATTTCAAAGTCTAATGAAAGTATTTTAAAATCTAATGAAATATTCCAAAATCTAATGAAAGTATTTCAAAATCTTATGAAAGTATTTCAAAATTTAATGAAAGTATTTCAAAATCTAATGAAAGTATTCCAAACTCTAATGAAAGTATTTCAAAATCTAATGAAAGTATTCCAAATTCTAATGAAAGTATTTCAAAATCTAATGAAAGTATTCCAAACTCTAATGAAAGTATTTCAAAATCTAATGAAAGTATTCCAAACTTTAATGAAAGTATTTCAAAATCTAATGAAAGTATTCCAAACTCTAATGAAAGTATTCCAAACTCTAATGAAAGTATTCCAAACTATAATGAAAGTGCTGAGAAACGGAAAAAAGACGTCGTTAGAAACAAATAAAATAGTGCTGGATTGCTATGTGATACCCATCTTTATATGGCAGTGAAGTTATTCAATCTCCCTACGGATGTGGAGAAAACTAATGTCGGCCGAAATGTGGTTCTGTAGGATATTTAAAGTTCCATGGACGGATCAAGAAAGCAACAAGGAAGCCTTAAAGGAAATGAACACATACTCTGATATCAGGAAAAGACAGCTGAAGTTCCTTGGACACATAATGAGGAAAGAGGGCTTGGAAAACTTAACCCTCACAGGACATACTGAGAGCAAAAGAAATAGAGGAAGGTAGTGAGAGGGTCCTGAGACAAAGATGTGCCCTCTCACCAGATATAAACCTCTACAGCGACACTATCCCAAGGGAAATGGAGATCCTAACAGGGTTTATTATCGGTGAGTTTCATCTTAACAACATAAAATGCGTAGTTGAATCTGTGTTGATAGTCAACTCGGAAAGGAAACTACAGGGCATCCTCGACAGGTTAGAAAACGAAAGTGAGAAAAAAAGGGGGGCCAACAATAAATTAGAAGAAGACAGAAAATATGGCGATTAGCAAAAGAAAAAGCCCAAGATGTGAGTTACGAATTGGAGATGTCAATCTCAAGCAGGAACAGAAGTTTAAATATCTGGGAAGCGTTTAAACAGATTATGGAAAATGTGACAGCAAGATCCGAAGAAGCATCGTGCTAGCGAAAGGAACATTCCAAAAAGCTAAGCAAGGTACTGAGAAACGGGAAAAGATTCCTCAAAAACAAAGAAAGGTTTGATGGATTTCTATGTAACAGTGAATGCAGCGAAAATGTAGCTCTACAGAAGGATACTGAGAATTCCGTGGACGGAGAGAGCAATTAGAACGTCTTAAAGAAAATAGAAACATAATGAACATTTCTACAGGAAGAGAAAACTGAAATTCCATGGACGCATAAAGAGGAAGGAGGGCTTGGAAAACTTGATGCTCACAGGGCATATTGATAGCAAGTGAGATAGGGGAAAGGAGCGAGACACTTACCTGACGGGCTTGTGTGAATGAATGGCTGAACGGTGTGAGGTGGGGGCCTTAGCAAAGGTAGAAAAATTGAGAACGTTTCGGAGAGATATTATCATCTATGCTCTTTGCGTTCATGCTTGGAAGAGTGAAACAGACTGTCGCCGCTCCATGTTGACCTCAGTGTCCACTTTTACATATATATATATGTGTGTGTGTGTGTGTATGTGTGAATGCGTGCGTGCGCGTTTGTGTGTGTGTGTGTGTGTGTGTGTGTGTGTGTGTGTCATTATACTGGAATAGACATTGAACTCAGATTTCACATCAAACTGTCAAAGGAAGGCTCCAGACGGAAATGAATAATCACGAATTACCCCATTATGAATGGGTGTTTTCTAGAATAACTATCAGCACATGAGAAAAACCGCTGGCCAGATGAATTCATAAGCAACCACTCCAAAGAAGAGGCAGTATCTCATACACCGCAGTCAGAATGTAAGGTCCAAGTTTCTCTCCATCTATGTAGATTTCTAGATTCATATCTATGTTATACTATTCACATTTCAAAACAAAGCTTGAGTTAAATATTTATATAGTTTCAACATGTTTTATTAAAGTAATTTGAGTTATTATAAAAACTGCAGTCTTAATAAATTAATATTTATTTAATGCCTCTGAAATCTAATAAAAACTTTTTTTTTCTTTTTTCCATAATATATGTTGAAACTTGGATGGATCTAACAAATGCTGAAAAACAAAATAATAACAAACTTATTGAGAGAATGTCCACATTGGAGATATGAAAGGAGCATCACAGAGATCATCGAACGATAAAGAGGACTTGAAGATGTAACTAAGATAAGTACTAAAAGGAAAAAGCTTTAAGAACGTCAACTGGAGGGGACCGTAAACTAAAGACATTTATAACAAAACATCCACATTTAACAAGTGCTCAGATCTTTGAACAAGCTGGAATTGAGGAAGTCAAAAAGAACAAAAGGTGTAGAAAATTTCACAAATTAGGATCTGTCAACAAATCTCCTAAGCAAACTCCTCTTATTAAAGCAAATCATTTAATGCGTCAAAGATGGGCCAAGAAATACATGGAATTGCCTTCTCTAAACTAATTTTCACGGGCAAATCCAGAGTAACATTTGATAAACTTTACATGCGGGCCGTCGGGATTCTATCCGATGCAGATGTCTCTCTCAAGACTAACTATTGCGATTTCAGAGACAAGATTTCTTTGAAAGTTTCAAAGTGAAATGTATATTTACGAACGACAATGCTCCTTCTAATGTATGCAAGGTTGCCCATTAATTTATTTAACGTTTAAAGATTTATAGGAGAGAAGATAATAGAATGGTCACCATCAAGTCCCGATATGAATCCGATCGAAAATCTATGGTCAGCTGTGAAGAGCAAATTATATCAATGTGGCAAACAATATGACAGCGACGCAGACCTATGGAAAGCAATTAAAACCACTACGTTGGAAACAGAACATACTGTAGTAAACAAAATCAATAAATAATCGATTGATAGCTGTTATTGAGACGAAGGATCGTTATATTAAGATGTAAATGCTTCAAAGATTTATCATATATGTTTGTTATTTTGTTCTGTTATAGGTATTGATTAATTGTTGATGATTTTATAACCTTGTTATTGAAGTAAAAAGTGATTTTCTGGGTCTGCATAATAACTTCCGACTGCAGGTTTTTTTTATTATAAATCCAATAACGAGACAACACTCAAGTTCAGATTATACGGTTGAGCGAGTTCGAACTTCCTTCGAGTGGAGCCCCCATAAATCGATCAAAAGAGCCAGTAAAGAAACTTCAGCTTCCTACAACTGTTTGGCATGTCTTAAAAAGACGA